TCTGTGCCATCAGGCACTGGCTTGCTAATGTCCACCACACCCCAAATGGAACATAGAAAAGTTGTCAGTAGATATGCTTAGTGATAGCAATCTGGGGTTGTGTCTTTCACACATTGCAACATGCTAAAAGAGAGAGGGGTCGAAAAGGCCCAGTAAGTTGACAGATGCTTTTCCTACTTCGGCCTTTCGGCATCCACCTCTGCCTGTGGGATCTGCTTTCACTAAAACATTGCCGTTGTTGGACTATTACTACTGACGATGCATGGTCTCAAGGTCTTAAATCACCCTTTCCCAGCAGGCTTGGATTTGGCCATGCTAACCCCATTTGGCAGAAGGGAAATTATTTGTTTGAGGTCAAGTCGCAAAGCGCTGGGGTTTAGTGCTCACCTCACGTCCTGAGCCTTAGGTGTGTGTATCTGCCCCAAAGTAGTCGGCCTTGGTTGTCACTTCCATCTCTGTCCTCTTCTCCAGACTCCTGATGAATTGGACTTACTGTCCTGTAGCTGAACCAACCAAGGACATTAACTTGAAATATCTGAAAGGTATTCGTTTATCAAAATATACTTCCAATCTCACAAGCTGTAGTGATGACATTTCTGCCCCAAGCTGAGCCTTCGACTTGTTTACTCTTTGGACATTCAGATGCCGTGGGTCAAGGACATTGTAATTCACAACCTTAAAATGCTTTTCTCCCAAAGATGACACACTGGCTACTTTACACACACACAAACCTTTCTTTTGATTATAAACTAATAACAAACACTACATCGCACTGCACAGTTTGCTAAGCAATTCCACACATGTACTCTTGCTCGATCCTCACAATTACATCCTGAAATAGATGTTTTTAAATTTTTATAGATGAGAATAATGAAAGTTAGCCGATGCAGGCATGTAGTTGTTTATTCCTGTTTTCATTTTACCAACTTCATTTATAAAATGTTTCAGAATTCTAAAATCACAGAAATTTCATCTTTTTTTTTTTTTTTTTAAGTTGAGAAAGCAGAATAAAGCCAGAGGTAGAAAGCAGAGCCAGTGCAGACAGAGCCAACCAGGGCCTGTGTTAGTATGCAGCCATGCAGGCTGGTAGGCCTCTCAGTTCCCAGCATTAAGTCATAAATTAGATCTGAGTTTCCTGGAAACCTAAATAAAAATGAAAAGAGAACATTTACAGAATTCATATCATTTTGTGAGGATAAAGCTCACCAGTGGCTGAGAAGAAAGAATGCTTCCCCTGATGGCTGAGAGAAATATCTTCTACGGGTATTCACTGAGTGCAGTGCTTCTCACTCATGGCGGCAGACTAGGCTCACCCGGAAACTCTTAAAATGTCCCAGACCAATTAAAACAGCATTTCTGGGGAAAGGGTCTGGATATGAACACATTTTCTTTAAACCCCCAGGTGCTCCTAATGCGTAGCCAGAATTGAAAAACATTGAGAGTGAATTCTGAGTCACTCATGGAGCGACATTTCTACCCTAAATCCCAGAGCAGGTTCTAGATGTCCTGAGGCCGTCTGCCCGCTGCAGCAGTCGGGCATTCTGGAAGCTGATCAGGATGTGGGTGTTCCAGCTCCGTTTCTGATGTTTTCCCCAGGAATGGAGGGGGAAAGTTTTCAGAAACTGGACCTGAGATAAGATGAGCATTATTCTCTCGAAGGGACTTTGAGTAACGTGATGGATAATCCGGTAACTGGGGAGCCGAAAATGATTTCAGTAGCACAACCTCTGTGAGCAGGGAGCCAGTGGGAGGCTGACTCAGCCTCATCACCCCCGGTGGTCCATGGTGCTGCCCGAAGATCTGGAGAAATCACAGACAGGTTTATTTTGTATGTTTCCACCTGCTACCTGTTTATGACTCAGGATTGGGACAGTGGAGATGGTTTCTACCCTTTCCTGATGGATCGGGCATATCATGAAGCATCCAGAGAAAATACCGTTTCTAGAGGGTTTACAGGCCTGTTTGTTCGCTGACCCAATGCCCTCCGTGGTTCCTACCTACCTCAGTGTCTGCAAAGAAGATACCTGAAACTAATATAATATCACATGCCAACTGTAATGGAGAAATAAGAAAATTATTAAAGAGCTTCCATGGGCAATATTACATTTACTCTCAACTTGACGAGAGCATCCATGGAAAGCAGATGCCATATTTTTCAGTAGTTAGACAACAAGAGGGAAGTTCATCACACAGTGTTTGCCAAGCCTGCCTGAAGATCAGAGCTACCTGTGACACTTGGAAAACATCCAGCCTCCAACCCCACCCCAACCCACCCCACCCCACCCCTCAAAATGCTGGCTCCTTGGTAGTTGGTTGGGCCTGAAAATCTGGTTTTGTTTTTCCTTTTTGTTAAAGTCATCGTTCCACTTGTTTCTTAGACTTAGGCAAATTTGGGAAGACTGCACCTAAAGAAAATCTTGATGATGAGTTCATTAAGAAATGGGAAAAGTTTCTCTAGGTTTGACCTCTGGAGGATCTTGGCTTAACTTTTGTCCCCAACACTCAGTAACTTTGTGCAAATTAGTTAAACTTTCTTTGTCTTCAAATTCTGTATAATGAAGGTCATTTTATCATCAGAGTATCAGAATAGATAACTAAGGTATGTTTGATTATCTGTAGCTAATACAGCGCCTAGAACATCGTAACTGCTTGACGTGTGACCGTGACTGTTACTAATGACCAAGCTGTCAAATTGTGTCACTGCTGAGTAAAAAAACCTAAACCCTGCCAGCATCCTAAAGCGATGCTTCTTAGCTGAGGGCACTTTTGTTCCTAGGGGACAGTTGTCATTGTCTGGTGGACATGTTTGATGATCATGACAGGGGAGGTGCTGCTGACACCTAGTGAGTAGAGGCCAGGGATGCTGCTAAGCATCTTGCTATGTTCAGGACAGCTCCCTACGACACGGAGTAATATGGCCCAAATATCATTGTGCTCTTGAGGAGCTCTGTCCCAAAAGGACAGTGAGATAAATAAAAGGTCTTGTAAGTGGAGGGATAAATATTTTGAGTCATTGGCATCCCCACTGTGGAGACGGATCCAGTGGGACACAGAGGCATTTCCGGTGGATCGGACGTGGCTCTGGACAAGGGCAGAGGTGTGGATTTACTTCCTGGTGGGGCTGTTGACCAGGACTGATTTGTTTCACACTTGGGTCCACGTTTCTTTCTCTACGATACAGTGTGGATGGCCCCCCTGGAGTTGTCTGGTGGGGTAGCCCTGGCCTGACCCAAAGTATCACTTAAGCTAAATCTTTTACCTCAAGGTATCCAAGATGCCTCATTTGAATGGTGATCACCTGGAGAACTTGTTGACGTGTAAACTTCTGGCCCTATTCCTTAGAGATTCTGCTTCAGGAAAGGACAGTGGGATCCATATTTATAAAAATCACCTCAGGGGATTCTGCTCACAGTTCCAGCCAGGTCTGGACCCTCTGAGTTCCCTGCCAACTCTGACATTCAGGGCATCTAGGACACCTGGAAAATGGAGACGTGAAGTTCTTCCCAGCTCTCTCACCTCATGTGAATGAACGGTTTTTGGATTAAACTTGTATTTCTTTATTATTACGACCACTACTAATACTATGAACGGTGCTACGACAACCGCCAATAATGATAATAATAATTAACGATAACACAGAATGTTCTTAAGACTAAAATCAAACAGTCTCAGACACCATCCCAAGTAGATTTCGTCA